GCCACAGTGACACTTGAAGAAGCAAGGAGAGCTGGGTCCAGAACATGGCACTGCTGCTTTTCCCAGCCAGGGGCAGTTTAGAACTTAGATGTTGTACTCATCTTATTGAAAGATGGCATTAGTCAGCACTTGGGGTACTCCTAGATGTTGTACCTCTGTTTCTGGTAGTGTAACTCACTCACCCTCTCTAAGATCTGTGATGTTGCTCTTCAAAATGTGGCTTTTTAACTTGGATCACTTCACCAAAACCAAATCAGGGAGAATTGCACAAGTTAGGGTAAAGCTAGTGCTATAAGACAGTCAAGCAGCTGGTGACAGTAGTCTGGTAATATGGCACAGCTGGAGCCAGAACTGCAGGACTGTGTCCTCACTGACCACCCCCTTCCATGCTTTGTCCTCCCTTCTGTACACTGAGACAGCAACCCTTGCCCACCAGTACAAGGGGCTCTGGGAAACAAAGAGGCAGAGTCAGCAAAAATCCTGATGTTACTGTTCACTGATATAACCTTTGGCCTCCAGCAGCTATTTGCAGAGCGAGTGTTAGATGCCTCTGTTTACTGAAGGCTGGCTAACTCTGAGAAATGACTGTGCTGAACTGTGATTCAGCCTCAGCAGATGACAAACATAACCACCCCGCTTAGGTGAAATGAGGAGTAAATTAATTTGAATCTCTAGGCCATTTCCTAAGACAGTATAATTCCCAAACTCTAGCTTAGAAAATGTTGCTGAGAAGCCAGTGAACTGCTTCTACTGTCAGACCTTTATCTATAGGCAGGTCCAGACATGTAATTACTAGCTAGTTTCAGCAAAAGTATCCCCTTAAATGTAAAACTATCTCTGCAACCTGCAGGTTACTGGCTCACACTCAGCTAGCAAACCTTAAAGTTCCAATGGCAAATGCCAATCTTTGCATCACTGCTATGCTTGAAGCTACCAGCCAAACTGTTTCAGCGCAGAGACTGAAACTGCGATTCCCCAACAGTATGTGCAGACCTGTGTGTAGTGGTCTCACCTCTCCTGCCTGCCTGTGCATCATCCTCACACTAGACCCGGTACTCAGTGAACTTCCCTCAAGGTGTTGTTGTGACTGAATTGACCACAAAACATCCAAGACTTTGGTCATACAAGGTCAGTCAGGAATTCTAACAGAAATACACAAACCAGTAAGGGTATTATTCATCATATGAATAATATGCAAAGGAACCAGCTCAGTCTCACTCTGAAGACTGAAACCAGACTGAGAGGGATCAAGATTTTTCCAAGGTCATAAATCTACTTTCCCCTCATAAATCCCACGCTACTTAAAATACAATAAGGAATATCTACTTTAGCCTAATCCTGTTTAAACCAAATCTGACTGGGTCTCCCAGAAGTATTATCAAAGCCAAATAGTCCTCTGCACAAACTGTTTCACAGGCTTTCTTGAGAACTCAGGGTACAGTCATCATGCACCCAACTTCTCACAGATGCACTGAAGAAAATTCAATCACATCTAAAAATGTTTTCCACTCAAGGAAAACCCTAGTCAAAAAATTACACAGGCTGGGTGGGTTTTAAACAATATGTATGTGCACTATGGAAAAGAGTAGATGAATAAGAATGAGGGATAGTGAACTGATTTCCTTTTCCTCAGATTTGTGCTACAATCTCACTGATACTACCAAGTGAAGATTCTCAGTGGGACTTCATTCCCTTTTGCTATATTTGAAAATATATTAAACAGGCAAAAATATTAGACACAGGTATTGTAAGTCTCCAAAAGCGAAAGGTCAGAGCTGTAGGTAGCATTTCTTCATCTCCATGCTTGCCGTGTAATAGCTCGGCAAATGTTTTCTGCTTCTAACACCTCTCACAAGATTATACCAACAACGTAACAAAAGTTGTAAATATAATTATCCCATTTATTTTTTGTTTTCTCTCCATAGTGAATAAACCTCAGACTGTGATAAGCAGGCTTACTGCTGCTTGGAAATAAATGCTGGTGAACTGGCTGTAGATAGAGACAGAAAATAAAGAGCACCACAGGGGGTTTAATGAAGACACAGATATCTCACTTAGGTGGTTTGAACCAAAGTAACACTCACCTGAGAAGCCCATCTTTCAACACTGCTACAATTCTGGCCATGAGCTTACAACAGAAACACACACTGAAATGAAACAGGCATTAAAAAAAGAATTTGTCATCTGCATCTTACCATCTAGTACAAAAGACGTGTACAAGACAACTTCTTCAGGAAGCTATGACAATAGTTATTTCAATCAACAACCTTTTTTTTTTTTTTAAATAGTAGATTCTACCTACACAAATAAAACATTCAAGCCAGTGTTTTTGGTAGGTGTTAATTCTTGCATTTATTTCAGTACTCCCATCTTTACCCCTATTTTAATTTAATTTACATCAAATCACAGACTGCTGATACTCTGCTAATTTGCCTCCTACCATGAGTGATCTGGTCTTTGGTTCAGCTGTATTAGGCTGACATGCCCTTTCAAGCAGAAATGGCCTCTGTGTTTTTTTTTTTTTTTTTTGAAAGAACCTCCCCCCCCCCCCCCCCAAACTCCAACTCTGCTTCTTTGGCCATAACTAAATTACTTCGAAAACAGGCAACTTAAAGGCTGAAGCACTTTCTCCTAAGTTTTTACAGTAGATTAAGTGACAACTCAGGTTTGCAAAATGGCATTTTAAACTCTCTGTGGTGATAACTCTCACTGCACTCACAGACAGAACTTCGTTCCTGCACTGTATTTCAACATATAGTCACTCATTATTTTTCCAGCTGAAATTTTCTAACTATTCATGTTTGTCATATGTCAATTCCAACGCCATCCAGGTAATTTCAGGTATACTGCCAAAGCTCTTTTTGTCCTAAATCAGAAAGCAGTCCATCAAACATCCTGGGTGTTCAATTACAGAAAAAGACAAGTAATATGTTACTTGTGAGAAAACCTGTTATTTCTGGCTGACAGAGAAACTAATGAAAGAAGCAGAGAAATCACACATCTATAGAGAGCAAAGTTCCATTTGTGACTGAATCATGGCTACTTAATACACCTGGATACCTGAAACAAACCAATTCCTTATTTGCTGTACATTTCCTCCTTCAAGCAGATGCATCAGATGACACTGTAGAGCAGCTTAGGAACATGGGAAAAATTACATGCATTTTGATTCATCAGGGACACCAGACCTGAGTCAAATCCTTAAGCACCCTTTCAGTAACTAGAAGCATCTAAGACATTCCTTTACACTTGTGAATAACAACCTCCCAAAGCAGAGTCACCAATGATCAATAGCACGGTTTCAAAGATCTAAGCACCATGAAGATAGTCAGGGGTTCTGACCCCATGGCATCCTTACGCATCACAACCAACAACCAACCAAAGCATCTGGCAGCTCATGAGCATTGGAACCACCACAGGAAGGCCATCCTTACATTCCAAATTTCAGGCTTAACAGTAATATCTGTCAGTAAGTTCACCCAGAATCCTGTGGAACATAGTAGTGGCACAGCCATATCGCTTGGGCCGAGGCAAGCATTTCACAGATTGAAGATTATGAAATGATGACCTAGGTGTTTTCATTTACTCATGTGTTTACATGGCCCTTTCTGTTTCCTAACCAAAAAAGTCACCATCACCCAGTAACACTGTTTAAAACAGAGTAAGAATTTTCCCAGAACTTGTGTTTATGCATGCCTTAAAAAGATCTGTCTAACAGGCAAGTGTTAAAGGAGGATCAGTGACACATGAAGAAATTATGCTTCTTTCTTGGAAAATGTGCCAGTGTTTGCACTGAAGTCCAAATACTGTCCCCATCCACATACTTTGTCAATACCTACTCTTTTCAAACAACCTTCCCCTCCATTGTTTCATGAGCCTCAACAGAATCAGAGCTCAGGACATAACACTATTAAAAGAACAAAGCACTGGCCAACTTGCAGACTTGAGGACAGGCTCATACCCCACTTAAGTGTAATTGACATGATACAGTCAATGATTTTACAGGAAAGACTTTTCATTCCATACTTTCCTGTACAGATGTACCAAGATCAAATATTTCAACAAGTGTTTGCAAATACAACCTTTGTACAGAAAAAATCAGAGACTGAGACCACCATAATCATAAACCAACAGTATCAGTACTAGTACCAGTCCTAAACCACTCTAGCCAGGAAAGTGCAATAACCAGAGAGTTCCTCAAACACCCAGCTACAGGGCATTCTTCTCAGGTTAAAAAAATAACCAAAAAACCAAACAAACAAAAAACCCCCCGAGCACCTTTATGCTGAAGTGCAGTTGCAGATGTTGCTTTAATACAGAAGGTAGAAATACTGTAATTTTGGTGCTTTAAAGCAGGTCCACGGTGAAGTCCCAGAGCATGCCTGTGTTCCCTTACTGGAGGTACACACAGCGGCTGGAGTATTAACTTATCACGTTGACTATCAGCTGACTGGTGGAATACCCATTATCCATTTCTGACATAAGCAATTTTTATGGAACATCCAGTATCGAAGATGTCTTTCTCCACTGGAACATGTGCTGTGTACTGTATCCTTTTCCTTCCCACTGGGAAGGATAAACCAGGTATATTTACCACCTGCATTTGGTTGCTGGCACTGACAGTAACTGACGAGGTCTGCTGGTGAAGATGTGGACAGAATAGTTTAGTCAGTGTACTGGCTCTATCATGACAGATCCACTGGAAGCAAGTCAGACGTTCATTGCTCATACTTTTCTCCCTTTAAAGCACATTGCTGCTTGCTGGCATTTTTGTCAGGTCATCAAGTAGTTACCTCTACCCCAGATGCTCACGCAATTCGTCTCAAAAATTTGAGACAAATTTGTCCATATTTGGTATATCCAAATAAGGACACAGGCAAGCTTATGCATAGGACAGTATCTGTAAGAACTTACATTAAACTTTGCTCTTGATCCTCTACAAGGTCACATTCTCATTACAGCAAGAAGTAAAACCAATGAACTACCATAAAAGGAAGTAATCCTTCTGTACATTATTTTTATTATTTACATAATACAATATAGCATAGATGCTGTAGCTTATGTGCAATACATAAATATGAACTATCTGTACATGTTTGCATATCTAATAACTCAGAAGAACAAAGTTAGAAGCGAAAACCTGATGCTTTTAGTAGTGAAGTAAAAACCAAGACTGAACACTGGCAACAAAAATCAGGTAGGAGTAGTGCCTTGTGTATGTATGTAACTATTTACAGATGGGAACAGACATTACCACAACACTAGTCTAAACCGTATTTGTTTATATAAAAAACACAAGTTTCATACATCACAAAAACCCCTTCCATTATAACACAGAAGTGATATATATTACCAGACAAGCATCAGTGAAGAATACTGCCTTTTCTAGTTGTTATTGTACAATGCCGTAGATAACGCAGCCCATGCAATACACCCAAGAACACTACAGTCCTATACCCAAGTACAATTAAAAATGATAAAGCAGCCCTCCAAGAGTGGTTCCAGCTACCATTTAAGTCTACAGCAGCCATGTTAGGTATGGTTTTCCATGCAGAACGGTGCAACTGTTACATTTAAAACTAGAAAAATTAATTCCTAATATTCTTTTGAACTTGGAACACACAGAACATAAGTAGTACATGAATAATAAACTCCTCTAGTATTTCAGCAACTTATTCAGACTCCTGTTGCTTGATAGAGATGCTGTGATATGTCTAGAAACATTTGAAACTGTGTTTTGAAAACCAATCTTACAATATTGTGCTACACAACATTTTTAGCTAGGCAACGAAAAGCGGACAACTCTGCAGGCCAGTTCTTAAGCTCCTAATGGGACATTTCCTTTGGGAACTTTTTTCCAAGATTCTAAAGTTAACGTAATCTTTTACAAAACAACTTTCTTCTCATATGTATTTGATTTTTTCCATTGTTCTCAGTGCAGTTGTTAAGTGACTTAAATATGGCAAAGATGCTCATCTTACTGTGATGGTAGACCCCTCTACACAGCTTGCATTCTGCTGGAAAACTAAAATGGGAGTGTGACAACTAAAAGTAGAATGAGATTTTAAATGATAGAAGTAGACTGCCAACTGTTTTGATGTGTCCTTCTCCTAAACAGGCATATAACATTAGCCGAACATTAAATACCTCATGCACATCTCAAAAGGCAGAGCTGCTGCACACATGCAGATTGAATAAATCTATTTGGCACATGTGAACTAGTCTGTCCTCTGTGCATGTGTATTCCTGTGCAGGTTTCTGATCATCCATCTATTCTGGGGAGGGCATATACATTTTCAAGGGCTGTATCTATCCAATTCTGTCTGTAACAAACACCCAAACATTTGAAGTATCATTCAGACAGACAGGACTAGAAGTAAAACTTTCGAAAAGAAAGGAAAATGACCATGCACCTGCTCTTTTCATGGTTTTTAGGATGTATTGAAAAAAAAAGCCCCACAAAAAGTCAGTCAGTCTTTTCACAAGCACATTAATTTATATTCTCTGAATTTTTTCAGCCACCACAACTGGATTCTCTTTTCTGATTTTTGCTGCAGCTTCTGCTTTGTAGTCATATGGGCAGTTATGCTTGTCAGAATAACGGTGAAGTCCACAAAATAGGTTTCCACAACGGCAGTCAAATCCTGTACACAGAAAAAGAAGAAACATTACTAGGAATTAGTTTTAAATTAAGGTGTTAATTAAGGGTGCAGTCACTACAAAGGGGATATGTTTGCCTTACTACAACATACAGGGCAAGAAAAAGAAATGGATTTACTAAGTTGTGTAAATTGTGAAAAAGCTGGTAAGTTTAATAGAACACAAATTTTGTCAAGTTTAATCTAGCAAGAAGTAACTAATCATGCAAATTTGTTTAAAATTGACAGTATTTTCACACCTGTAAGGCCAACCTTCTTCCTGCACATGAAACATCTGTTCTTCTTTGGTTTCGGCAGTTCAGCAGCTCTCTCCTCACTCTCTGAAGTACCAGGCTGAGAAACTGATGGACTTGGCTGAGTAACAACTGTTAAAAGCACACAAAGGAAATCAGGGTTAAATTTGCTTTTCTTGACTTCACGAGGTGTCCAGTAGTATGTATACATTAAGGATTCATTCACCCACTAAGACCCTGACATCTGTTGCCTACAGTACTACACTGACTAGTCTAAAAACATGAATCAGAAATAAGAATTTTGATCCATCCCTTCTGACTCTACTTGAGACACTGAGATATTTCACCACATTTCAACCAGCTAGAAAATGTATGGCACTTACTCTGTATATCTATACAGGCTTGAAAAGCATGACAGAAATTCCATGTACACATTTTATATTTAAATAAATCATATGATCAAGTAACACAATCTAAACAGTAACAATACTGTCACAGCTGAAGTTGCTGAACACAGATACCACTCTAGGAAATATAACTAACAGGAAAATATTTTACGAAAAAAAAAAAGAAGAAAGAAATTCAGCAATGTGTTCCTGCTATAGTACTGAGTTGTTTTGCCACTTCTGCAGTGAAGTCAGGTATCTAAAGCAGTTCACCAAGACAGCAGCTAGGAAGCTGTTAATTCTGTGACAGATCCAGAACACAGCTATAAAATACACAGTTCTAAAGAGTCCTCAATTAAATAATAAAGTGCAGATTTGCATTGCATATCTGTAGTTTTTGTAAATTATTCCGTTTCAGTGTTCAAGCAGGTATAGTCAAAATAAACGCTTTCTCAATTGCCTCTTTAGACATCTTTAGACATGGCTGTTTTATTGAAAAAAGTGTTTTATCCCAAAAATTTAATTTTTTTAATTGATATCCTCTTCATATCCAAAATTGGCACTAAGGAAAGCTGAGAGATGCGCTTGTACACAACTGTAATACTTGCTCTTGGTACAAGTTTGCTAAACACTCTCAGAGTATGATAACATCATCATAATGTCTATTAACTACAAAATGCGTTTCATAATAAATGGAGTACATGAGCCTCAAGGACATATTTGCAATCAACTTCATACAAATATGGTTTGTTAGATGAGATTCTTTTGAATAGTACTTGCTTTTTAAAATTGTGTTTGCATTGTCATAGAAAACTTCACAATTCACTGTACAGGAAAGGCCCCAGACAAGACTTCATAATCTAAATAAGACTTATAAGCAACAAACTCTCAGAAGTAACAGGGAACCTTCAGTGCTCATTATCAAATTTCATGCAGCAGAACAAATGACTGCTAATATTTTTCATACCTCTACATCATAGCAACAGTCCTAATGAAAAACCAAGGTCATTCACAACCTGATTTTGTTTTTTTTTGTAACACTGCAGATATTTTATAACCTGTTTTTTGTGAAAACAATTTGTTTTGATTAAGATTTTCTAGATGAACAAATTTGACACTCTGAACTTGTCTTTAAATCCTAAGAAAATCATTGTTCAGTACCAGTTTGTCTAGTAGAGAGTCTGTGACCAAAAACTGGCCTAACAGCCAGCAATATCACAAACTGAGTGTACCTGCTGGATGTGGTGCACCTTGGATAAGAGCTGTCAGCTATGGCCTTAAAAAATAAAAAGACTGAACACCTCCCCACAAAAGTATAGTCAAATCCCTCTTTATAAGATTTGTTCTACTGCTAGTCTGTTTCAAAATGAAATGCTAATTGTAAGCCAAAACAGATGAATAAGAAGAACCAGAAACACACACATTGTAATTTGGTGTGTAGTTAATTAAGGGGAAGCTTCATCTATGTCAGAAACAATTTAAAATTTTGAGCCCTGGCAGTATGCATATTGTTTCAACCATATGCCAAAGAAAATGTAGAGGGGGGCAAATCAACAGTGACATGAAGTCACTCACAACATACACTAAGAGAAAATGAAAATGAGCAGGAAACCATTTATGTCACTGCCTAACATGTCAACAAGGAAACAAAAATGAAAACTTCCCAAGAATTACCAAGGCAAAAAGACAGTTTAGATCACTCTACCACAAAACAAAGCCTCTGAGAACAAACTCATCTAGGGAAAATGTTACAAATTTCTACAAGTCTACTTTCATCTTTGCATCAAGAAACTGCAACAATGGCAGCACATTCCCTGAAAGGGCTGCTGAATAGGATCCTTCCCCCACAACTAAAACATCTTCCAAGGAGTAAATGCGGTACACAACATGCAGTAATGGTCACTAAAAAGTACCAAGACAAGAGGGGACATAGTTCCCTAAATCCTAAACTAAAATGGTCCTTTTATTACTGTCCAAGAACAAAGGATTCTGCTATTATTTTATGCCAGCAAACTTTAGTCTGATTGGCTTTTGATGTTAAATGTTCATAAATGTGCTTCTGAGTAATGGCAAGGACAGACAAAAAAGCTGCCTGCCCTGTCCCCTAAAGCTCAGAACAAAATTCCTTTTTCATCAACCTGAAGATGAAAAATGTTGAAAACTGCAGTTGTTTTGCCATGACATCAGGAGCCTATCCAAATCAAAATACTGTTCTTAGAGTTGCTTGTCACAAAAGGCTTCCTTTAACACAAAAGACAAATTCAACTGGGCAAGTACAATTTCAGTCCTCAAGATATTCACTTAAATTCTTGCCAGAAATCACAGTGTTAATGATAAATGATTTATGTATCACGACAGAAGGTAGCTGAAAAAGTGCCAAAAGCTGTAAAATAGTGGTTACTGGTACCTGTCAACCTGCTTCCTCAGTAACAGTGTTCCGATGAATCAAACTCTTTTAGCACCAAAACTTCTCACCACTGTAAAAGAGCTCTTAGTGGCATGCATGCACTTTTCCATCCTGATCTCCAAACTGGAGAAACATGGATTTGATGGACAAACTACGTGGTGGATAGGGATTGACTGGATGGACACAGCCAGAGAGGTGTGGTCAATGGCTCTATGTCCAGGTGGAGACTGGTGATGAGTGGCGTCCCTCTGTCTTGGGAGCCCTGCTCTTGAATACCTTAATCAGTTACACAGATAGGGATTAAGTGCATCCTCAGCATGAAGGAGGGGATCCCAGACAGGGAGACCTGGAGAAACTTGAGAAATGGGCTTGAGACCTGTCCATCTACTCTGCTACTGTAGACCCCATCTGGAGTGCTGAATCCAGCTCTGGGGTCCTCAGCACAGCAAAGATGTGAATCTACTGGGTTAACACCAGAGGAGGGCTACAAAGATGATCAGGAGGCTGAAGCACCTCTGCTATGAAGCCAAGCTGAGAGAGATGGGGCTGTTCAGCATGGATATGTCAAGGCTCTAGGAATACCTTATTGAAACCTTTCCAAGCTTAGAGGGCTTATAAAAGAAAGGGATAGATTTACACGTGGGTAGATAGTGATAGGACCAGGGGAAACACTCTGGAATTACAAGATAGATTTGTATTAGATGTTAGGCAGAAATTCTTTACTACAAGAGCAGTGTCAAACAGGAACAGAGGGCTTGGAACCAGATGATCTATAATGCCCTTTCCAACCCAAATGGTTCTATGGCTCTGTGTATCCCTCTCCATCACCTTGGTCATGGTCCCCTCCTGTCGCTGGCTCAAGACCTGCAAAGATTTACTTCACTTGAATTCTACCAGATCAGCTCTCCTAGTACAATGCCAAAAACTTCAGGGAGAACTGATTTTCAGAACTGGGTAGGCTTTTATTAACACTATTTTGGTCTTAAATGATTGCCTGCAGGCACTATAAATATGCATTACCATAAAGGCCAACGATGGCTATTATCCTAACAAATTAATGATAAAGACTAACACAAGCCTATATGGAGGTGGCTGCCTAAAAGAGTCTACAGAAATATAGGCATTTCATAGTGAATTTTGGAAAATTTTCTTCAAATGTAGCCTAAAGATAAGATGCATCTTTACAAGAGAAGCAGCAAGGCCACTGATGGAACCAGCCAGCCACAGGACAAAGTACAACAGCTACTCAATCTACATGAAAAAGGTTCTACAAACTGAAAAATAAAGTTCTTCTTTGACTCATGGGAGTGTCATTTGAAATTAAAAACCACTCTAAGAAAAGCATGTTCAAAGCTGTCAGTAGCTTTCTTATATAAAACACTATGGCTACTTAAAAAAACCCCATGTATTAGCATTACAGAGATTTCACTCTGAAAAGGAATGAATCCAATCTCAGCTGAAGAAAACGCATACAGATTGATTGATTTTCAATCAGTACTATTTTCTAACATTCTCCATATCTAAAGTGACCAGAAAGAGATACAAAAGTAACAGAATAAAGTCTTTAGAAGCTTCTCTGACTAAAGAAAAATTCACCAAAATAAAATCTAAACACCTTAAACTTCAAGTTTAAAGTTAAACTTAAGTTAAACTTAAACTTTCAAATTCTTGAAAGTGCAGGGAAAGAAACTGATTTAAGGACTGTGACTTGATGAAGCTAACTGCTAATTCCTGCTACTGAAGAAACAGAAAAACAAAACAAGACAAAAGGTCAAGTCAGAAGTTATCCAAAATACATTAGATGCATTGCTTGCAGTTCTGGAGCTGAAACAATAGTAGTAGTAGTAGTAGTAGAAGTACTGGACACAGTAGAATCCTTATACTGCATATTAACACAACTGTCCTGGTTTCAGCTGGGATAGAGTTATTTTATTCTCAGTAGCTGGTACAGCACTGCATTTTGGATTCAGTATGAGAATAATGCTGATAATATTAATAAAACTAGTGTTTTAGATGTTGCTAAATGGTGTTTTTACTTTAAAACGAAGACTTCTCAGTTTCATGTGCTCTGCAAGCAAACAGGTGCACAAAAGGCCTGGAGGGAGAATCACTGGGACAGCTGACCTGAATGAACTAGCCAATGGAATAGTCCACACAACAGAACACACTTCCCAATATATAAATGGGGGGTGGTGACTGGGAGCTGCCAATCACTGCTGGGGAATGAGCTGGGCATCAGTCAGCAGGTGGTGACCAAATGTACTATGCACCACTTGTGTAGTTTCCAGAGTTTATTCCTCCTTCTCCTCTTTTCATTACAATTATATTGTTATTACCAT